ACATTGGCCAGCCATTCAGGGTAGTTTACTTCCCTGATATGACCTACCTCAAGTAGGTCCTTAACCTCCTTCTTTACAAAATCTCTCCTATCACTTGCCAAAAATCTCTTCTTCTGTCTTACAGGCCTAGACCCCTCAAGAACAGAGAGACGATGGCAAATGACTGACCGGTCAATTCCGGGCATATCAGCAACACTCCACGCAAATAATGATTTATACCTGGTCAACACCTGGACAATCTCAGTCCTTAGCTCTTCCTGAAGATCAGCCCCAATTTTGACCTTCCTCTCAGGATTGGAGGCATCAATCTGGATCTCCTCCGTGTTTGCATCCGGCTCAATCCTAACCTTCTCCTCACCCTTGTCTACCTGCTGGGAGACCAATTCAATTTGTTCGAACTGGCGGGTCATCTTCTTGACTGCTTCCAGGTAGCAGGACCAGGCGTTCTTTTGATCACCCCTTTCCTCCCCGATTCCATTGGGAGTGTAAAACTTCATGCATAAGTGTGCCATGGAAATAATAGCCCTGACCTGGTTGATTCCAGGCCTACCCAGAATGGCATTATGCACACATTTGATGTCGACCACAACAAATCTCATTTGTTTGGTCACTGTCCTGTTACCTGACCCCAAGGTAACCGGTAAGGTTATCTGACCTTCCGCTTCTATGCTAGCTCCAGTGAAGCCTGACAACGGAGTTTACAATGGCCTCAACATGGACCTGTCAAGCTTCAATTTCTTGAAAGCATCTAAGTATAAAACATTGACACTGCTTCCTGTGTCAACCAGGACCCTGGCCGCATCAGCTCCATTGATATCCATTGTAATGACCGGAGGGTCATTATGATCTCCCCCCGTCCTGGGCAGATCCCTATCAGTGAAAGTGATAGGTTCCCTCCTTGCCTGCTTCCCATGTGACTCCAGGGAAACCACCGCCACGTGCAAACTCCTGGCCTAGTTCTTTCGCTGGGAGGCAGTGTCCCCGCCTTCTGGGCCGCCGACAATCATCTCTATGAATTCTTTATCCGAATTGTTGTTATCCTTCCCGGATTTTCTCCTTCCCTGGTCTTTTCCCTGATGACGGGTCCAGGTGTTCGCTTTCGGGTCCTTCTTATTACCCGTCGCGTAACCTTCCCCAAGCTCTCCTTTCAAGGCCATCTCCTTGAGCACAGCCTTGACATTTCGGCAATCCGCCGTGTTGTGGGAATCGGATTGGTGGTATGTGCACCAGTTCTCCGTCCATTGTCTCTTGGGTTGCTCTCCCTTCTTATCATCCCTTATTTGGTGGATGGATCCGTCATATGTGGCCTTTAGTTTGGACCCTCCTGTCTGCTCATCTTTCTTTAGCTTGTCGGATTTCAACTTTGTGTAGCCTTCTTCCAGCTCCCGCTTATTCTTGTTCAGCACTTCTGCCTCGGCATATTCCCATGCCGTATTGTAGGCTTCCTGATAAGAGGAGGGCGGCCTCCTACAGAATTCAGTGTAGAGGTCACCTGACTGGAAGGCATTCATCAACAAAGACATGGCCGTCTTATCGTCCATCTCTTCTACCTTGTCAACCTCATCCCTCCAGCGGGTTAAGAATTGAGTCAAGGTCTCCTTCTCCCTCTGCCCTACCGTGTTAAGGTAGGTAAATTTCTTTCTCTTGATGCAGTTGTCCTGGTACTTCTTGCGGAAAACTTCAGCAAGTTTCTCAAAGGACTCAATCCTGCCATGGGGAAGGCCTTTAAACCATTCCACTGCCTCCCTCTCAAGGATGAGAAGAAGAGCAGGCATTCCTCAGCATCAGTGCACCCGGCCATCTGTGCTGCATTGTGGAAGGTGTCAAGGTGGACGTTTGGATCCTCCTTTCCAGTGAATTTTTCCACGTCCAGCTTGACCTTACGCCTCAATTTTTGTGCATGTACCCTGGCCGAAAAGGGTGATTTGGCCAGGGTGTGCTTCTTTGCTCCCGCCTTCTCGTCCACCTTTNTCGGTCCCACGGGTGGCGCCAAAAATGATGGTGTAAATATAGCTGGGTGGGTTAACCGGGTTTGACCTGGACACACTCGACCCGTAATATAAAACACACAACAAGAACACAAAGTATGACCTAGACCGGGTAAATCTCCTCAGTCCGAATTATATTTCTTACTCTATCTCAAGAGTGAACTTTAGTGAGAGAAAAATTGGATCCCCTCCTCTATCAAATATCATCATATTAGGTGATATTTTGGCTATCGCCCAAAATGTGACCGGTCACTTTTTTAGTGGAAGTGACCGGTCAACTTTTGACTCATCCCAATCGAAGAGTTAACCTCATTTGGTGATTGATAAAAGTGACCGGTCATATTTTGACCTGTCCCTTTCGGTTGTCTGGGTCGGGTATAGGGATATACCCATCACCCTCTGTCCTATAATATTCTTCCCGGTTCATTTTACGAGGTTTTACCGACTTTATTTTCAATTCAATTTATTTGATTGTAGGTGTAAAATTAAAAAATAAAATTTATATATTTAAAACTACATCAAAAGTTCTACAAAACAAGTTGTGACAAGACTATATTATTTTATCAAATACCTAATGAAAATATGTAAAGAAAGTGATTAAAGTTTGACCGGGTAAAAAGTGAGTGGGAAGAACATTTTAAGACGGAGGGAGTATATCACTAAAATTCTATTGAAAATACTAACAATAATAAAAAAAGGTGGTTTTCAAAAAACTTTAATGCAATTTAAAGTAAGTTGCCAACGCAAAGTGTAACTTTTCAATGGGACATAGTACTCCTCTATGTACCAAACTTCTTTTCATGTATATAAAAAAATCGAAAAAATGGTAGGGGTACACAAAAAATGGTGTACCCCAAATGTCCCACATCTCCTCTTTGTCCTCAAAAATTAGCAAGTAAATTCAAAATAAATAAATAAATAAATAAAAATGGATGGTGGAAAAGCATGTGGTGTACATTTGGGATACAGCAAAGGTGTACTCCTAGCATTGCTCAAAAAATCGTTTTTCTTTTGTAATTTTTTTATTCATAACATTTCTTTCTTCTTTAATTTACACCACTTTCATCGGTTTAATATTATTTTTCTTAATAACCGTAGTCTGAATAGGAGGTAGAAGCTACATATATCTAAAATAACAAGGAAAAAGAACTTAAATTCTAATTCCTATAGAGTATTACATCAAGCTGCTTCATACAATCATGCAGAACAAGATTACAAGAATATTTTAATTAAAAAAAATATTGTACAGGACGCTAGGAATGTTTTAATTAAAAATTATTTTAAAAACATTAAAAACAAAAAACACTTATTTTACATAGATCAAGAATATATTTAGCCCTTTGAGATACTCCCTCCGTCCCAGAAAGATAATTCTGTTTCATTTTTTGCGCATCCTATAAAATACTTCTACTCACATCTACTGTAAAATGCTTAAAATTTACCACATTTCTCATTTACTGTTAGGGCTGGACACGGTACCGGTTCGGTACCGTCACCGGAAACGGTACCGCCGGTACCGAGCACCGTAACGGCAACCGGGACGGCGAAACGGTTCCGAGAACCGGCACCGGTACCGCCACATCCGGTCTCGGTTCCGGTGCCCCAAAATCTGTACCGGCACCGCCGGTACCGGTGCCGGTTCCGGTACCGGTTTTATTTTTTATTTTTATTTTTTCTCCTTTTTGCTCTCCAACGGTAACCTGCA